TCTGTCCTTGGCACGGGTACAGTTATTTGTCTAGCACAATTGTTATTATTGTGCAGCCTCACATAATCTTTCTGCCCTGGGCAAACATGAACAATAGTGGGCTATATTTATGAAACCAGCAGCTTGAAAGCATGAGTTCCAGATTACCATTACAATTGTAGCATAATTTTTTTTTTTGATAGCTTAGACCATTTATGTGGAAGGCCTTTCTCGGCCTCATGCAAATAAATTGGTTCTTTGTATATTCAGAGAGCTCCTCATAGTTGGTTTTCCCCCCATCGTTCCAATCAATCATTCTGCATTTGTAAATGGTGACATCACAGATGTGCAGTGTTTAGGAAGAACTGATATGACAGTCATCTCCCAAAGTTGGAAAATAAAGGAATAAAAAAAAAAGCCCAGCTGTGGTTATTCTTTAGGGTGAATTAGGAAGGGAGAGTGGGAGTATAGAGTAGGATAGAAAGATGGAATGGTAGGCTAGTGAAAAACCTGTTCATCCTCTCAGTTCTCCTCTTCGGGATCATCTTGGGTTAAGGGTTATGATAAATCCATAGCTTCATCTTCTGCTTTTGATGGTCACAAGCACCATTTTATCAAGTCTCCTTGGGTGTGATCAATATCTACGGGACACCAGCAACACACCCTAGTGAAAAAGCACATTTGAGTCAGAAGACCTGTGTATAATTCCTAGTCTTATCACCATGAATTTGAACAAATTCCTCTTCTATAAAATAAAATTAACAACAATCCCTATAGGGTTGTTGTGAGGGTAAAAGCAGCAATTGTTGGTTATCAATATCCAGATTTAAGCCATCAGACATAGCTTTGCTTACCTAGAGAACACTACTTTTCTGATGACAGGGATATATATGTCAGGTGTTCAAGGCACTCCTTTCTTATAGCCGATGTACTACAAAACTGACTTAGTAATTGGAGGGTTATCTGAGGGGTAGAGGGTTAAATGGTGAAGTGATGTTGAAGAATGAATCCTTATAGCTACCTCTGTCCTATCTATTCCAGGCCAGGCTCTTTGTTAGGACGTTTATGCATGATTTCTAATCCTTACAAGCAGATATTATTATCTCCAATGTACCCATGAGGAACATGAGGTGTAGAGACAGAGAGACATTAAGTGGCCCTAATCCTTTTTGTCTGTTCCATGAAGCTCATTCTTGCCACAATGAATTAGATCATAACATATCTTCCATCAGCTACATTTTACTTTCCTAAAATAGATTTGGGATATGACCCAGTGCTTTGATGATATCTGGGACACGCATTCTCAAACTGTCATTGGTGTGTCATTTACAAAAATTCAGACCCAGAAGTTCTAGGCATTTTTGGGAGTTTAAACCATCATTGCCATCCCGCACCACATGTCAAGTTTTTATTTTTATTTTTAAAAAGTGTCTGTTGTTGAAAGTATTACATAGGTCCTCCTTCCCCCTTCCCCCCATCGATCTCTTCCAGCCTGATCCCTTTCCTCCTCCCCTAGGCCCGCACCACTCCATTTTCTATGTCTACTGGTTATGAATATATATATATACACACACACACACACACACATACACACACACAAATTCATTGGTTGATCTCTTCCCACCCTGTTTCCCTATTTTTATTTCTTAAAAATATTTTTTATTGATTTCAGAAAGGAAGGGAAAGGAAGCGAGATAGAAACATCAATGATGAGAGAGAATCATTGATCAGCTGCCTCTTGCACACCCCACACTGGGGATCAAGCCTGAAACCTCGGGATGTGCCCTGCCCGAAAATTGAACTGTGACCTTCTGGTTTACAGGTCAACATTCAACTACTGAGACACATCAGCCAGGCAAATATGTGTTGTTTTTTTACTTAGTATCAATCACACAATAATTATAAAATAATTTCTTATATTTCATCATTTTTTTACATTGAATTGCTTTCTTTTATATGGGAGAAACTGAGGTTCAAACAGGTTAAATGGTTTATCTGAGGTCACATACTAAATGACTACTATATTCTCCTTACTACCCTGCATTGGTTTTCTAGGAAACTCTATAAACCTGGGATTCTAGTCTAATATCTTGTATCTTATATGGTTTAGAAGAGTCTTCTGGAATTTGTGCTCCCAATAGCAATTTATTCTATGACTTTCAGATTTCTTATTTAAATTTGTATATCTACATATTTAGATATTTTCATGTATGTTATTTTATTCATCTTCACAACAACCCTAAGGTTGTACAGCTAGAAAATGGTAGAGCTAGCATTGGAACCTGGATGTTTCTGATGTCAAGTCCTATATATTCCACTATGCTATACTGCCTTGGTTATGAATTGTATAACCTTGGGAAAATCACTTAATTTCTAGGACCTTCAGCTACCTCATTTATAAAGTGGGTGTGGTGATTACTACCTTTCAGAGTTGTTGTGAAGCTCAAATGTAATAATGTAAAATAGAAAATGCAAGTAGAAACATCAGTTGTGTTCATAGCTGATAGAGGTACCGAGGTGGAGTGATGAAAAACAGTATCTCCTCTTCTCTCTTGAGTTAAGAATAACAGTCCTGGGCCGAAACCGGTTTGGCTCAGTAGTAGAGAGTCGTTTGCGGACTGAAGGGTCCCAGGTCCGATTCCGGTCAAGGGCATGTACATTGGTTGTGGGCACATCTCTGGTAGGGGTGTGCAAGAGGCAGCTGGTCGATGTTTCTCTCTCATCGACGTTTCTAACTCTCCCTCTCCCTTCCTCTCTGTAAAAAAAAAAAAAAAAAAAAAAAAAGAATAACAGTTCTGGCTGGTGTGGCTCAGTTGGTTGAGTGTTCTCTTGTGCACCAAAAGGTTACTGGTTCGATTCCTGGTCAGGGCACAAGCCCAAGTGTTGAGCTCAATCCCCAGTAGGGGGTGTGCAGAAAACAGCCGATAGATGTTTCTCTCTCACATCAGTGTTTCTCTCTCTCTCAAAATCAATAAAAAGTATTAAAAACAACAACAGCAGAGCAAAAGGAGCTCAAGAGAGACTTTCTTTTTTTATATAAATATTTTTTAAAATATATTTTATTGATTTTTTGTACAGAGAGGAAGGGAGAGAGACAGAGAGTTAGAAACATCGATGAGAGAGAGTCATCGATCAGCTGCCTCTTGCACACCCCCTACTGGGGATATGCCCGCAACCAAGGTACATGCCCTTGACCGGAATCGAATCCGGGACCCTTCAGTCCCCAAGCCGACGCTCTATCCATTGAGCCAAACCGGTCTCGGTTCAAGATAGACTTTCTTGAATTAAACAGTTGCTCACCAGACCTGCATGTCTCACTCTTCATGACTGGGCCTTGTAAAAAAGGAGTATTAACTGGGTCAGGAGTCTCTGGGGGCTTGTCTAGGATGTTTTGCCTGTGGTGGCAGGGGTCTAAAGACTTAGGTGGGGCTAACTCAGTCCTGGATCTTCTTGTTCATTTGGCCCTCCTGATGGGTCAAATGGGGACTGCTATGGTAATGATAACAGGGCATGGGCCTGATAGGATTGTGGTTTATTGTGTGGGAAGCCACCACACAATACTGAGAAAGGAAGACCAATTCTGGATAAGAACATTTATTGAAGCTTATTCTGTGCTAGACTAAACTGAGAGGTGGACATAGTTGCGAGTCAGCACTGTTCTCAAGGACTTTACAGTCTAGAGGGGTCACACAAAGCCTTCAACTACCTTAGGAACCAGGCAGAATATATTAAGGAACGTATCAGAGCAACCAAGAGGTGGGGTGGGAGTGCTATTTTTAATACAGTCAGGAACTAAGACCTTTATTGCGTGGATACTATGTGCTAGGGTCTGAGGATATAGAGGTATATCAGAAACAGTCCTTGTCATTCAGGAGCTTTCATTCTAGAGGGGTAGACAGATGTAAACAGTTACTGGGGTGATGATGGCTTTAAGGTAGAAAAAAATGTTGGAAAAAAGAGGAGAATGGCCCTAGCCAGTTTGGCTGAGTGGATAGAGTGTTGGCCTGCATACCCAAGGGTCCCAGGTTTGATTCTGGTCAAAGGTATGTACCTCAGTTGCAGGCTCCTCCCCTGCCCGGACCCTGGTCAGGGCACATGTAGGAGGCAACCAATTAATGTGGTTCTCTCACATCGGTATTTCTGTCTTTCCCTCTCCTACTCTCTCTAAAAATCAACGGAAAAATATCCTCAGGTGATGATAAAAAAAATAAAATTGAAAAAAAAGGAGAGTGTGTAACTGACTTGGGGAAGCCAGAAGAAACTTTGCACAGAAGGTGATACTTGAGTCTTGAGAAAGTAGAGTTTGCCAGGTGCACTGTGGGAGGAGTTAGGAGTATGTACTGTAGGCAACTGAGCAGGTCCCAGTGCTCTTTTATTGAGCAATCTTCGTGTGGCAGGTAGCAAGCGGGCAAGGAAAGTATTCCTTTCCTTTCCCTCCTAGATGTTGACTCCTGGAGGTGTGACTTAAGTCTTCTATTCCAATATCACATCCTAACAGCATATAGTTAAATGAAAGGTGTTAGAGCCAGACCTGGGTCCTATCCCAGCTCTCTAGTTAGCCGAATGACATTAGGCGTGGCATGTATTGTTTCGGTTTCTTCATTTGTACAGCTTATGCTCCGGGTCTCCCATTCAAAAACAAAGCATTTAGCACCGATTTGGGCCTATCTAAAGTACTGTTATTACTTCACATCATTGCATCATTTAGTTCTCACAAGAAACCTAGACTTTGGCTATATCATTTCTCTATTTTTTTTTTCAGAAGCAAGAAGACCTGCGTGAAGTCCACAGGAGAATCTGGAAGTTGGCTCCAAAGCCCGTGCTCCGCACCGGGTTTTCCCCAAGGGGCCCCTGGGGGACAGACTCCGATCCCGCGGCGCTAACTCCGGCACCAGGATTTGGGTGCGGCCGCGGCGTGCGCGGGGCGGGTGGGGCGGGGCCAAGCCAGAGGGGAGGGGCGGGGCGGGCCGAGGAGGGAAGTTGTCGAAGTTCGGGGAGACTCCCGCCCGCCCGCCCGCCCTGCCTGCCCCGGCCTCGCCTCCGGCCGCTCCCTCCGCCTCCTCCCCGCCCCGAGCCCCAGTCCGCCCGTCCTTCCTTCCCCTCTCGTGCATGATGGAAACACCATGGCTGCGGCGGCCCAGCTCTCCCTAACACAGGTAACGCCGCCCGCCCATCCGCTGGGCTCGGTCGGCCGGTGTCCCCGGTCGACCCTCTCCTTACCTCCCCCCGCCCGCCTCCGCCGTCCAGGGGTCACCGACCCGGGCGTTTTCTCTCGGCGGCGCCGGGCGGGGCGGCGCAGAGGGAGAGTGGAGAGCGTGTGTGCGGGAGGGAAGGCGCCATCCCGAGCGAGCCGGCTGCTCCGCCGCCGCGGCCGCCGCGACCCCGCCCGGGCCGGTGGGCGCCCCCGGCCCCGCCCCGCCCCTCGCGGCGCCCGGGGCTCCGCGCCCCTCCGCGCCCTGCTCAGCCGGTGCCCGGCCCCTCTCCCTCCGCTCCGCTCCGCTCTCACCCACCCAGGAAGTTTCCTGCTTCCAGGCCACCCTGTCCCAGGTGAGCGCCTGTTGAGCTCCTGCGACCGGCCTCGCCCCCAAGTCCGCCGGCGGCGGCCCGGCAGCGCGCTTCCCGAATGAGAGTCACCTTCCCGGGCCGGCCGGCCGGCGGCTGTCCTCTCCGGACCGGCCTGTTCTCTCTGGAGTCCGGCGAAAGTCCACCGTTCCCCAGCAGTTTCCTCCAGGCAGTCCCTGTTCCAGACAAGTCCCATCCTCCCCAGGTGCCTGCCCTGCTAGCCCCTGCCTCTTACCCCTCTTGTCAGGTTTCCTCCCACCCCCGAGGAAAAGTCTCTTCCTACTCAAGTCGGTTCCCGTGCCCACCGGTGGGCTTCCAGTTCATCGCTGTCCAAGCGGATCACCGGTGTGGTGGTGGTTCCATCAGTCTTGGTGCTGGGAACTTGACCCTAGACTAGAGATCACTCATCCTGGGGGCGGGGGGTGGGGGGGGATCGTCACCCAGTTAGGTTCTCAGGGTCTTTCCTCTTCCCCCTTTCTTTCTGTTTCCTTCAGAATCCCGTCCTGTGTGCTTCCCAGAAAAACCTCTTCACCATCACTCACTCTGGGATCCTCCTCCCTCCTCTGCAAAGAAAGCCAGCTCTCCTAGTCATCCCAGGGTGATGAGGGGACCTGCACCTGTCAGTCCCTTCCCACTCCTCTCTAACACCAAAACTCAGCCTAGTTTCAACTTCTCAGCGACTCCCTCCACAGCCTGTGGCCGGGGACTTTCCCCCACTCCCCTCGGGGCCCACCTCGCTAGCCTTCCGGTCTGCTTGGTAGTATCTTCCCGCCACCTTGTCGTCTCCTTGGCCTGGATTTGTCAGTGCTTATGAGACTTGAACACTGAGGTGTAGGGTATGCATTTGGGCTGGAGAGTTTTCAGTTATTGGGATGGAGAGGCTTTGGGGTGTTCCTCCTAGAACTCTAGGATAGACTGAGTGAAAGATGTCCTCACCGGGACCCAGGAATCACACGTAAGCATGTGTCTCCGGTGAAATAACTAGCTTCAGCTTGCAGGAGTTACCAGTCTCACAAATGCAGCCTGTTTATTTCCTAATTTGTTTAGTGTTGCTTATCCTATTTGGACAAGCAGGTAATGGGGAAGAATCCTTGGGATGTGGCAATGTCATCGAGGTGGTGAATCCCTCTGGAAGGGTCTCCCTGAAACCCAACTTCAAGGAATGGCAGCATTGACTCCTGGGAGTTCACTTTTTAGGAGGCTTGTGAGTGACTTGCATTAAACAAGATCTGGTTGGCAGGCTGTTGCCCTTGGCTCTCTTGGCCACTTTGGGCAGGACTTTTTTCCCCTCTTGAAGATTTTGTTCCCTTGAAGACTCCTATAGATTTACTTCTTAGCCGTGTTGTCTGCTTTATTCTCTCCCTGGGTAATACTGTGTTTTTAGTTTCTATTTATTAGCACTTGTCTCTGGAGAAAACCTTCTTCAGGCTCTGTCAGCTATATAGACAGTTAAATAATTTAAATATGTTTTTGTGTGGTTTTTATATAAAATATTAGCATGCACATACATAAATACTGAATTAGGGATATTATCCTGATACATTCATTGATTCAAATAAGTCAATTTAGAATATTTTGATTTTTAAGCCATGAAGAGGCAATAGGAAATTTGTAAAGGCACAAGATAAAGAATCTTCCCAAGTGTTAATATACTCCAGTGTGCCTCCTTGTTATTCTAAAACTTTGCTGATTTGTGTTTTTTAATTTAATATTTTAACTGCTTGAGGCAATAAACTGAGATAACAATGCAACTTGGTTTCACATTCATTATTAATATGTTTATGTCAACCCTTTTCCCCAACACACACACACAGAAAGAGAGAGGGGGAGAGAGGCTGACAGACAGATAGACAGACATAGGTAAACTCAAGAGAAAGAGAGCCTCCAGGGTTGGTTTGCCTTTTAATTCATCTCTCCTCCCTCAGTTCCCATGTGGAAGAAGGTGATTAATAAGCTTGTCCTCTGTATGACTGAAAATTCTAAAGGGCTTTTTGACAGTTACAAAGATTAAACAGATGCTGAAGTTAGTTTCCACTTCTGGTTATGAGATAATAATGGTTTTGGAGTACGTTCATTTGTTCAACTAATATTTGTTTAAGTACTTATCAAGTGCTAGGCACTGTACTGGGATTCTCTTATTTATAATATATTAGTGGCTCGGGGTTGTCCCTTAGCCTGGCCTGCACCCTCTCCAATATGAAACGCCTTGGGGAATGTTCGACTGCTGGTTTAGGCCCCATCCCCTAAACCTGCAGTTGGACATCCCTCTCACAAAGTGATACCTCTGGCTCCTAACTGCTCGCCTGCCTGCCTGATTGTCCCTAACCACTCTGCTTGCCGGCCTGATCACCCCTAACTGCCCCCACTGCTGGCCTGCTCACCCTCAACTCCCCCCCCCCCCCCCCCCCCCCCCCCCCCCCCCCCGCCTGCTTGCTCCCAACTGCCCCTACTGCCAACCTGATTACCCTCAACTGCCCTCCCCTTCTGGCCTGACCGCCCCTAACCACTCTTTCTCGCCCAGCCACCATGGCTTTGTCTGGAAGGTTTCCTGGAAGGTCTCCAGGTCTAATTAGCATATTACCCTTTTATTAGTGTGTGTGTGTGTGTGTGTATTTTTTTTTAATTTAATTTTTTAATTATTATTATTTTTTTTTTGCCTCTGTCAAGTAAGCAAAACTGACATTTGGGAGGAAATGTGAAAAATGTTTAATTTACTTCTTCCTTCCTCTTCCCCTGACTGCCAACCAACCTTCCAACTCCCCAACCACCAAAATAAATGAGCATACTTCAGATTTTAAAGAGGATAGACTATTAGAATAATCAAATGTTAGTTTCAGTTCCAGCTCTGCCAAACTTAACTCAGTGTATGACAATGTATGATACTGAGTTAAGTTTCAAGTCCTTAGTTTTCTTAACTTTAATATTTATTCAATGAATATTTGTTGAGCATTCCCTATATGCTAGAAATTATTCTAAGTATTGAGGATATACGAGTGAACAAAATAAATAACAGTCTTGGAGCTTGGAGACAAAACTTGGAGCTTACATTTTAGTAGGGGAGTTTGAATTAGCTGATCTGAGGACCTTTCCAACCAACATTCTTTTTTATAGATCATATTCTATGATTTATAGATTTAGTGGTGATTTTCCCAGGGTATTTCAGTGCTGGATAGCCTTAGTGTTTTCTAATTTCAGTTGTTTTCACCAGGTGCTCCTTTTTTCCTTGTCAATAAGAAGTAAAACTTGAGAAAGATCTTGTGATTTTTGGTGATGGTGACATTACAAAAAGATATTAATAATTCTCTTTAAAACATTTTACAGTTGCCCATTTCTTCCTCAAACCTGTATCCCTAATAATAACAATAACGCTATTAGCTTTTCATTGGGTGTTACTGTATGCCAAGAATTTTACTTCACTTAATCTAACATTTTACAAATGAGGGAAGTAATTTACATCAACTAGTAAGTGGCAGATCTAAGATTTGAACCAAGGTCTCTGTAGGACTCCACTATACTTTTCTGTGTGCTAGATGCTTGGCATTTTCAATCTTTCCTTGTATTTCTTATTCTCTATTTCAGTATATGCCCTATTGTCCTAATTAGGTAGAAAACTTGAGGATGGAAGCCATGTCTTGTGCCTCTGAATCTCTGGTGTCTTTCGTGTGTCACCTTTCATGCGAATGTTTAGTAGTGCTCTTGATGATAAAGGTTTTATTTTATTTAAATAGGCATGACATGAGTATTTTATTTTATTTTGTTTAAATATGTTTTTATTGATTCCAGAGAGGAAGGGAGAGGGAGAGAGAAAAATATCCATGGTGAGAGAGAATCATTGTTTGGCTGCTTCCTGCATGCCCGCACTGGGGATTAAGCCCCCAACCTGGGCATGTGCCTTTACCTCCTGGTTCAATCACTGAGCCATGCTGGCTTGGCCCATATGAGTATTTTAAGTAATCTTACAGCAGTTCAGCTGTTTTCTTGTTTTTATTTAATAAGGATTTAAGAAGTTTTCTTGTTTTAACTTAATAAGGATTATTTTTTTTTAATAATAACAAAGTCCTTAGAATGGGATTTAAAATAATCTTAGTATGTGGTCTAAAATAATAAATACTACAAGAATACTTTTCCTTCTAATTCTTTTTCTTAATTGCAAGAGTGATATAACTGCATTATATCGATAGAAAGTTTGAAAATTGGAGGAGGGGGGAAATCTCCCATAACTTTAGTTTCTGGTATTTTATTCTCAATTTTCACTAAAAAATTATATAGTTGTGTTAATAAATATATCACCATAGTAGGCTGGCTTAACAATTATAACAGTAAATACAGGGCAGAGTATGAAAATGACAATCTCATATTCTCAGGAAATTTGTTCTTTCATTGAGCGATATCTAACTGTTCTCAAAAATGGCTTGGAATGTTTAGCATTTGGGAGGAGTTGTCATAGTTGAAATTAATTAGGAACAGTTGGGTTTGTCCAATAGCAGGTCTCCCAGGAATAACAGAAGAGTATTCCTCTGTTTTCAGCAGACACAGACAGAATGATAACAGACAAATATGTGGTAGAAAAAGATTGAGCAGATCTATTTAGCAA